AACGTAGAGGGCAGCAGAAAATCCCTGACTTTTTACACTATCGGTATTTCAGAACATGAGACACGAAGTCCCATAAGATGATAGGTCTATCATGTACCTAGTTGGTGGTTGGACCACACGAATTCCCCACCAACAGCACCATTAGAAAGAGAGGAAAGCTACTCCAGTTATTGTTCTTCTCTCCATTTCCGATTTCATCCCTACCATAAGATCGCCCAGCCTATTATACATATCATATGTTTTTGGGTTACCCGTTCCAACCGCCCAATGTAAATCTCTATTATGTAATATCCATTTTTTCTCATTAGATATCTTAGATTACTATGCCATTTTATGTGTGAATAGAAATGATTAAATATGACAGTTGAAAATGTTATTTTTAGTTAGAGTAGAACCACTTGTTAATATTAACATGATCTGTTATTAACGCACAACGATATATTAATTCAGAGAAGTTCCAGAGAAAATCTAATACCATTAAAAAACATTTTTATTCATTGCTTTTTCGAGTTTTTCTATATATTTTGAAAGAAATGTCATGGTATAAAAAAATACTCTTAAGAGTTTGAAATTGAGTCAGAAATTGTTAATTCCTCGTATGTTGAATAAGGTGATGATGTTAATTTTTTTAAGGAAAAAGTAATTTAATACGTGGTAAGCACCTACAATTAAAGTAGTTACAGTTTTATTCATTTTGTAAATAGGAAATAATGGTTTCTTTACAATTACTTGAATATGTATTATAATTTAAGCTTAGTATCGATAGTCCGTTCAATTTATCGTTACAACACTCGCCGTGTAACTCACCGCTAACTTCAGTGTGTTTGATATCAGAGGAATACGTATATACGTAATTTCGTCGAATATTTTCTATAAGACAGAGAAGATGTCGCGAAAACGTAAATTATCAAATCTCAAGGAGAGATGTCGTATCTGCCTCGTTGATGATGGTTGTATGAGTGTCCTTTTTGACGAAGTCCTTCGACCAAAAGTGAATGATCTGATCAAGTGTACCTCAATCGATGTATGTTGTTTACTGTGTCTTCTTTACAACCTAAATATACAAGTAGGTGAATATTTTTCTTTGTTTTGACAGCGAGTAATCTTTCTTTTTAGATTAAACCCGAAGATGGGTTGCCAAACATCATTTGTCACGTGTGTCTGTACAAGTTGGATCTGTGGAATGAGTTCAAAGAACAATTTATACGTTCAAACCAAATGTTACTGAATCACTTAGGCATTGTAGAAACCTCTGAAAATGCGGTATGGAACAGTTTCTGAGTTTAACAAATGTAATATTTCAATAATGAACTAAATTTATCAAGTATTTTAATGAATTAACTGTAATTTTGCATAATTATATGTAATTAGAACTTGTTATAATTATATTCAACAGTTTGGTATAAAGTTATGACAAGAACATAATAATATGCTATTTAAGGAAATTTATATTTAACTCTTTTTGGATTAGAGTACGGAACCCAAAGTCACAGGTGACGATTTACAACAATGTGATGGACAAGATGGTCTTTCAGATACTTCTGAGAAGGTATTCATAATGTTGACAAAGTACAAACTAACTCTCTTAGTTTTTCAAAGACATATTTTTCTTTGGGTAGTACATTTGTCTTATGATACATGGTTATGAAACCCTTGATTGCAAATATTATTTCAAATGATGAGTAATATCTCAAAATTTATGTTTATGTAACTACTATCAATTTTTTTTCAAAAATTATCATTTGCTAAGCACACATTTATTTGTGTCATTAATTGAAAAAGGGTGTATTTATAAATTTGTTATTTGCTGGTAATAAACAAGTTTGAAGGTTAATTCAAGTTGCTGCCTTACATCCTTATATCCATTCAGACAAAAATTTATTCAGAATTTTATTCTTATCAGGCATTGTTTATATAATGCCCTGCTCTAAATATAAAAAAGTAAATACCAAAGAGTTGCTTTATTTTTATTTCAAGTAACTCAATTTCTAGTATAAGGTTTAATGTCATGAGAATACTTATTTCAGAAGAAACCAAAAACAGAAGTGCCACCATTGATACCATTAGAGTTTACACATGCAGACTCTGTAAAGGTTGAAACAACGCTTAAAAAAACATATATGTCTGAAGATGATGTTACATCTTCAAAGGACTCTTCGAAGAAAACTCAGGATGCTTGTAATAATGATAATCGTAAAAATGAAGAACCCGTAAATGAAGGTAGTGTTCAAATAAAACCAACATTGGTTCCAATAAAGGTAAAGATGCTAACTGGGAAACGCGGTAGAACGACAGAAGAAAGAAAAGCATCAACTAAAAGATGGGTTGCCAGAAAGAGGGCCCTTTTGGCAGCTACAGGAGAAAGTGTTTCAGATACAGATTCCATGGCATCAGATGATACTCAGTTGTCACCAGTGCAAAAGGCACGAGCGAAAACAATTTTGGATAAGGATAGTGAGAAACAAAAAAGAATGTCCTTGGCCTTAATGCAACTAGAAACTAATATGTCAGATAAATATGGTCTTGAACATGAAATGAATGATTTTATGTGCATAGACACAGATTCAGATACACGAAAAACAAAGTCATTGAAAGATATAAATTCTGATGTTTCCTTAACTGAAAGTAAAAGCACTTCTATGAAGGATTCTATTGAACAAGATGAAGTAAAAAAAGACAAATTTCCTGAAGAAGATTTACAAGTAAAAGAAAGTTCTTCATTGCTACTGCTTAAAAATACAGTTGCAGAGACATCACCAAGGAAGAGCGACGTAGAAATTATAGAAGATACATTCACTCCATGTTCAGTAAAATCAGAATTAGAAGTTGGTGATGCTACATACATAGTTACTTCCACTTTGATGCTTTCGGAACCATTGAGTAAAACAAGTTCGATCAGTTTGTTAAAACACCAGAAAGACAATAATTTTGAACAGAATTCACAAGAAAAGAATACTGATATTATTGATGCAGTACAGCTTCGTCGAATAAATCCTGTTCCAACTGATTCTAGCGATAAGAAATGTATTGAACGATGTTTAAACATAGAAGTGGAGGGAACAGAAATAGAAGCTTTAAAGCGTGTACAAGTTGAGATAGCAGGTTTCGTAGAGAAAGAAATGAAGCACAGATTATTTGGAGTAACTAGTAATACAAACGAAGATGAAAGAGGAAATGGTTGCAGGAATTCGTATCAAACTTTGGATCAACAGCTTAAAAGTATAATAGAAAAGACTATAAAGAAAAATTTTGAATCTTCTTTGGTGAGGAGTTGTGGCTCAGAACCTAATTCACCTAAATTGAAATCTGGAAGAGTTTCACCTAGATTTCTGAAAGAAATGGTAAATTCGAAAAAGTATCAGCCGAAAGTTGTATTAAAACGTTTAGATGTGGCCAAGGAAAATAAAAATCGGAATATTAATAATAGTCACGTTATAACTAAGCGCAATGTTAAAAATAAACTTGGTGGACCGTTTAGCATGGTTTCTCATAAACGACAAAGCGTGCTGCCAATCAGATATAATGATTACAATACTTCTGCATTAGATTCTGACTCTAATTTGTCAGATGAAATAGAAATATGTGAAGTATCCAAAATAAAAAATGATCATAATGTACCCAAATCAGAAAGTATAAAAAACCAAGCTATTAGTACAATAAATCAAGAAGAAGGATCTAAAGCAGACTCTAATGGCACTATAACTGAATCTGTTATGAAAAACGAATTACAAGTAGAAAATCAAGAAAATGTTTTTAATGTAAATTTACCTCTTGGTGAAAAACATATATGTGGCGTATGTGAGCAGTCGTTCAACAGCCGCAGTGAGGTTGCAGCTCATGTTCGAATGCATAAAACAGAATCTCCCGCTACACCACGACAGAATAAACATAAAATGATGAGATGCAAAAGATGCCATGAAATAGTTGAAGCTAGATTTGTAAAAGCTCATGTATGTAAATCCATGAAACAGCAAGTCCACAAATGTTATGTATGTAATTCAACGTTTAGAACAGAAAAGCTTCTTGTTCGTCATTTAGAAAGTCACGATCAGTCCGAATTTAATATAGAAAATATAACGAAAGGGGAAATTCAAAAGTTATCCCACACGAATCCTTCACAAAATTCTAAAGAAGTGATATACTTAAAGTCTGAAAAATCTCAACTTTCGAAGGCAGAAAATATGTTTGTAAAATCAGACAATTTTAACTTAGAAGTAGGGAATGTTCAGGTAGTAACCAAAGGATTAAAAGGGGATAGTGTGCAAAGATTAGTAAAGCCAAAGGAGACATATACTTGTTTCGTATGTGATAAAATATTTACAGATGAAGAAATACTGAAAGATCATTTACAAAAGCATTGTGATGATATAAGTGAAGATGATCAGAGCACTGGTAAAGAACAATATCAGTGTGCAATTTGTGGTGATTCCTTGGACTCTGAAGATGCACTCGAGGCTCATGTAGAGAAACATTTGTTTGATGAGGAAGATGATAATCCCAATCTTATTAATATTGCTAATGAAACTGAGAAAACGACTGATGATCCGTATCACTGTCTGCAATGTGCAGAATCGTTTAATTCAGAAATGTTACTAGAAATGCATATGCAGGCTCATGAAGAAGAAGCTGCAATAGCAGAATGGGAGAAGCAAGGAATAAAGGCATATGAGTACCAGTGTATGATTTGCGATGAACTTTTTGAAACTGAGGAAGAGTTATCTGAACATTTAGATATAGATCATGGCAATGCATATGTTTGTCAATTATGCGAAAAGCCATTTGCAAGTCTTGAAGATTTACAAAAGCATGTTGCAACGCATTGATGTGATTAATGATTGTTCTTACAATATTCTTTTAACCTGTTAACCGGGGAAGAAGAGCTAACTCTGCATATATATTCAACTATGTTTCTCAAAAATTAGTTTTCTTATTTATTTATGCAGAATTTTACATTCGGTTACATTATAATATTTGTAGCAGCGAAAATTAGGTTGCACTTATTCTTACTGTGAAGTAAGTCGCATCTAAGCATGTTTGTACATATTACATAATAACTTCATAATTACAATTTATAATCTGCTGAAGCAAAAAATTTGTTAGTCATTTTATGTCAAAATATCCTGGAAAAGTAAATTTAATTGAAGATTGAACGTGATACGTACAAATTCTTTATATTAACGTTTGAGACACAATTGCAATATATAAATATATGTACAGTTTTGATTTATAATGTATCAGATATTGAATGCTCCCAATATTGACAATACATTTGAAGATGCAGAAAAAATTGACTTCCTTTAATTTTATTCAAAAAATACACTTATCAATATTTCAATCCCGCTGAATATGCCTTCCGTAAACTTGTTTAACTCTCTCTACGAGATTTCTCCGTATGTATATATGCTAATGAAGAATCTTATACACGTAAGAATATATCGATTTTAAGCGCATATAATAATTATTATTAAAGCACAATTTTATTTCCAATAAATACTAACTATTTATACAGAAATAAAGTACAGTTTTATTTTCAACAAATATTAAGTGTAATAGAAAATCTACGCGATGAAGTGTTTAGTAGAATGGATTAGAAGTAGGATTGATAAAAGAAACACTCGCGTATAAAATGTAACGTATTTTGTTGACTGGAATTTAACGTGTATATTAACGAGTATGCAAATATAATGTTTTTATATGAAATAATGTTATACGCAAATTGTTTTCTTCTTTAACAATTTTACATTATAACCCATGATAGATATTTATGTCAGCATATAAATAATGCATGATCACATTGTGGTGCTTTCCTTGCAAACTCAATCAACAATCATGAAATTCATTGGCGCATCATGGTTATTTAATCGAAAATAGTCGTTTGCATTACGAATTGTGTAATATTTCATACATACTCTACTTATCAAGTTATACATAATAAATTTTATACACAAATTAGAATCTATTTAACAACATCGTGGAATTGCGAATACTCTTTACAGAAAATAATTTGGAGGACTAATGATGTAAACAATTACAATAATCAGTCGCTGGCTGAATTGTAAATCTTATTATATTCTATTATATATTTACATAAATACTGTGTACAGTGACACTTGTTACTTACTTGTGAAGAATAACTAGCACTTTATCACTATTATTATTAACTTGACTGTAAGTAAACTTCTCTGAGCGCTTCGCGAAATCAAAATATATAAATAACAACTGACTTTATTAAAGCTGACCCTAACTGATTTGTATTTATCTTGTTACATGGAAAACTATAAATGCTCCCTTTTTGAACCATTTAAATCTATAGTTCGTTTGGTTTCGTAATTATTCTGCAACGTTATTGTTTACATTAACATAACAATGTGTCTACGCTAAAGATTTTTGAAAGTTATGCAGTAGTGAAGGTACATTGATTTATGATGAACGTTTAACTCAACATCAAGAAATTCGAATTATGATAGATGTTTACCGCATTTAATACATTTTGCGCTTTCATTTTCATTTCTTAGGTCGTGTCACGTCGTATTTTCAATAGTATGTACTGAATTTTGTATAAAGGCTCATTCAATTAGAAATGATATTAAGCTTTTATTTATAAACAGTAATTGAATATTTCTTCAATGAAAGATAATTATGTACAAGACATACAGTAACCAATTATGCAATTCTGCTCTTACAATTGAATAGAAAATACATGGTACGTATCATTATAATTTTATTATAATTTATAACATAAATTTTTTCTTTTGCAAATTAATAATTTGTTGTGGTTTCTTCATTCAATAAAAAAAGAGGCCTGGACAATTCTGGGTCCCAAATTTATTAGTACATTTAATGTACGTATCTTTCGAAGTTTTTCATTATTATGCCGATGTACTTTAAATATCATAAAATCTTAACTTCGTTAAACAATTGCAACTTTACATACTGTTATGCTCTTACATCTATTATATACAACGATATCATTCAGACAGAATAAGTTTCAATAGTATTCATTTGAATAACAATAAATTAAATATACTTCTCGCCGTGTTTGCCGAAATGTTTAATAGCAACAATGGTAATGAGTCAGAAAATGTATAATTATACATTATCTCGACGCTCTAAACTTAATATACCTGTGGTATATGTATTATCCATCTTATTGTCTAGTACTAACTATTAGATGGATACAGATAATCCTACCTACCTACAGAAAACTATTACCCATCGGGGTAAATGTTTCTTTGCAAGTGCTATTCGCAATGAGCTACATTGATCTGAGAAAAAGAACCAAAATGGTTGCACACAGTTTCATATCATTCTTGACGCCTGTTACATTTTCAATTGTAAAACTTGTATCATTTAGTTGTTACATCGAACTATAATATTCATTATTTTTAGTGATCATCTTATATCACATAAAATGATTGACCTCTAGTATAGTCTTATGTAACTCTTACCTAACAACATTTACAAATTTTAAGAAGGCGCTATTTCACTGAGAAATAAACAAGAAAATAAAAATTTCGTTTCTTTTTTCATACACTTTATGTGTTAAGTAACTAACAGTGTTCATGAAATTTGGCTTCACATGGTGATTTACTGAGACACAAGGTCTACATAGTTTGCAGGATACAAACCTACTCTTCCATCTTTTCTTCCTTTACACCATCCTTGTTCATCTTCGTCTTCTAATTTTTCAAATATATCACCTGTGAAAATAAAAAAAATATATTACTTTTAGATATTTTTAATGATTTCGTGTAATTATTTTAACGTTTTAATCTCATACTTATATCATATGCTGTAAGATATAGAATTGAAATAACGGGACAAAAGGAAATACCTTAACCAAAGTACGTATAATTAAATTTTTATTAATGATATTACATACCTTGTTTAAAGCTAAGCTCGTCTGCTTCTGCTCCTTCATAGTCGTATAACGCACGTACAGGAACACCGGGTTCTCCATTATCTACTAATGGTTCACCGCCATCTTCATCCCATTCTTCTTCTTCAAACGGATTTGATTCTTGTTTAGCATTTGTACCATTACTGAAAGAAGTATATAATCATCATGAAGATTTTAGTTTAACAATAAATTTTTCAATTTTCCAAAATAATATAGGTTAACCATCCCCCAGCTGATTGACTTTGACCCATGTTTATGTTTTGAGCGTTTTGAGTGTAGCGAAAGGAAAGCAAGTGTACTTGTCCGCGCGACTCGGTCTTATCGCTGTAACATAAACACTGACTGCGTGGAGAGTTTGAATGTCTCCAGCACGTAGTATTTCAGTATACTTACCAGGTCGAAGAAAAAATTAAACGAGCTAGGTGTGTCTTCATTTGGTGAATTTTTACAACATGGAAACATCATAACGCAATATCATCTGACAGAGATACTAAATACATTAATGACCAATTATTTTATGTACACAGTTTATATAAATATAATAAGCGGTATATTTATAAAATATTTATATTTTTTTAACAAATTCCCTTCCTCTTTAGATTATAAGCATTATTAGATAACATCTTTTATCAAAAAGCTACATATTTAAGTCTGAAGTATGTATAACGAGAAGTTTGGTATGGGTCAAAGTGACTTGGATTTGGTCTGTCTAGGTCTGCCGCAATCTACTTAAAATTTACGTTAACACTACGAAAGTTTTATAGCTAAGAGCACTTAAAAATATGATCATCCTGCATTAGTCACTGGACTTTTTTTTATCAATAATACTCCTGATTTAATTTTTCTACAATAAATTATCTTTTATAATAAAAACTTGTACACAGTTGTATATTCTTCTATTAGTTAGTCTGTTGCAGAATTTAAAAGATGCAATAACATATGAGTAAATGTGTACAAAAAGTGGGGTTTCTGATGCAATGAATTTATAAAAGGTAAACAGTAAAAATCACATTAAAATTATTTTTAGTACTTACGTAATTGTAGACGTTCTGTTCACAGAATTGCCATCATGGTTATTCTTTTCTGTAGAATGTTTGCTGGAACTAATTGTATCAGTTTTGCTATCTCCATGACTCTCATCTGTTGATATCACCCGGGAACTGGGCTTTGACTTGGATTTATTATTAACTGGTGGGAATTCCTATATGGATGAAATACGATGATTAGGTATATGAATTAATTATGTAATTAAGTACACTTTCTTTACATTGTACATATGTACTTATGATTTTAGGCAATATAAAAATAGTGGAATCTCTATACTTATGTTAAACCATGCGTGCAACCAAAGTATGCGTGATACGGTGAATTTTTATTTACATTTATATTCTAATAAATGTACAGAGCAGGTGTGAACGAGTACTTGTATATACATAATGAACTAGAACTGCATTTGTTTGTTATTTTTAAGCTTAGGATGAAGACTGTGAACAATGATAACATACGGTTTTATACAGTCATATATGTATAATTAAATATATTCTTGAACAGAAATATGTGAATTAATTAAAAATAGTAAAATGTACTTTTAAAACTAAATTTGAATTTAAAGTGAACACTATTAACATGAATCAGGATAAAAGTACATTCACTGGTGTTTATTAATATGATGTTTGATAAGCTACTTTCTTTTTATAATTGCCAAATATTCTGGTAACACCACATAACTGTATAAATTGTTTAATATCATGCAATAAAAGATGTAGCAACATGTTCATTATTATAATAAACTGACTTTAATGTTCAAATACATGAAGGCTTTATGTATGAATGGTGCAGATGATTCTGTGGTTGCAAGCATGTTTAGTTTATATTACAAGTTTAAGTAGGTTACTAACATATAATGATGTATCAAATGATAATGATATGTAGTGCTATTTAGTAACTTTATGTGTAAGTATATGTAAATGTAGAGCGAATTTACCTGTCACAAGTGAAATTTATTTTATAACATATAACGAATACGGGGATTCCTAGTTGCTTTAAATTGTACAGCAAAATAATGAAAATTAACCTCAATTGTACTTTTTCTTTTCGTTGTTCCATTTTGTAAATTTTACAAAATAGATTAACACGATCTTAATGTCAACAGTTTGATACAGTTTGTTATATTTCTGCCAACATGTAACAGAGAAAACAAATTTTTAATTTAAATTTCGTCTATGCAAATGAAATTGCAAAAATCTGTATTTGAATAAACATCAACTAGCCTATTTGTCAGAAAATTCTCTTTTTCATTGAAACCCCTCTGCACGAATTTCGTAAAAGTCAACGTAGACCAATATGAAAAATGTTATAATACAAGTAAATCCGCTCCTTCTGTCAAATTTGTATTATAAAACATGCTTAATATAATCGTGACATAGATCCGAGATGCGAGAGACCAAGCACATAGCGGGATACGGTTAATTCAGTTAAGTCAGCGAGCCAGAAGCTGAAAAAGGAAACCCATCCTCAGTGACTTCGCCGTTAGTGTCTATGCCGTATATGACACTAATTCGTAGCTCATGGGACGGTAAAAAGCTTGCGTTATCAGGGCTGTATAAACCTCGTCCAGTGGATACAAGGCGATCGACAGAACGATTGGTTGTAAACAGAACAAAAACTTTACATGCAGATCCTCGCCGACCGGGCGTTGATTGATCAGCGTGATGGAGCCAGCCGGAAGTGCCTCCTTGGACTTCGAGCCCTTGGTGATGTCACGGAATTCCTCTGTGTAGTCCTGCATAATAGCAATGCCCAAAAAACAATCACATGCATGCATTCCAGAAACTTGTCTCGGGATACTGTTCGAAGCTTCTTTTTATTTATTTCTTTGTAAAAGAGCACAGTAGGACATCGTATGTACATGTACTATGATTTCGGTACATGGTACCGCGAACGTTTAAGGGGACAGAGATCGTTACGAAGACGTTATACACAAACTGTTTCTCCAACGAGTTTAACCCTTAGAAATATACTTATTAGGTGTATAAATAATATTCACTATTTTCTTAATTATGAAACGATATACACTTTAAATGATAAATACCTTCACGAGCTGTTACTAAGTGAAAATGGTGTAGAATGTTAGAAAATTATTATGAATATGAATTAAATAGATTCTAAGCTTTCAAAGAATCGAATTCTGACTTTAGTAAGAAATAGTGTGTTACTCATTGGTACACCTAATACTTTGCCACCGGCACACTATGATGTAACAATGTAATCCGAACGTGAGAAACGCTGAAAACGTGAAAGAACTGGACCACCTTGTCGAAGAAATGTTTTCGAAACGATTGCTCGAGTTATGGAAAAATATGTTTCTTAGTTTCAAAGGGGAATTGTAGCTGATCAGATCTTGTGATACTGATAGCATATTAATAATTACAGAGTATTTCCGCAATCTATTACAAACCATAATGGCGACTCACGGTGATAGGTCACAAACAGTGAGGAATAAAAGTATTCGTATAATAAAAGACATTTTGTATGTTATTCATGTTTTGTGAACATTGATTTTCAGAGTCTGTTATATCTGGAAAATTATTTGAAGAAGAGTGTATACAGTAAAGGTTGTTGAATTCGTCTTGACACGCACTACCGAGTGATCTAAGAAAAATATATAATTTGATTTAAAAATCACGTTTGAACTTGATATCTCTTAAAATAATTCTGTTAAAAACAATTCGCCATAGCCCGTTAATTAGCCCCATCGTGCCATTCAATTTTATGCAAACAGTTTTCTCGTATTTCAAATTGAGTAAGAAATAACGAACTGTATGTACACTGTTCTGAAGAATCTACGATAATATTTTATTCTACATTCTCGACTTATTTTAACTGTATAATATTCATAGTTTACGAAAGAAAACGATACAAAAATTAATCTTATTGGCATTTTCCACTGGTTATACGTATGCACATAATATCTTAAACAATGCCAAAGTAATTAAATACCAGAGTTGGATAACATTAAATTTAATTAACAACTAGGAATTTCCATTAGAACGCTACTCTACGGCTTCATTTTTAAATTATAAATGAATTGTAAAAGAACGATTGATTTTCTATAATCAAATAATGTCGTTTCGTTTTCTCATCAGCTATGACAGAGCTGCTGGAATCTTTTTTTGCTGGAAAATTTTATATTATAATTTTCTGCATATCGCTACAAAAAAAGAAAGAAGAACAAAATTGCGTGCACGCATAGAATGGTAGAGAGGTTTTCATTTGGATCAGTTTGTAGATAAGCTGATATCGATACTGTTAGTAAGACCTTTCGCAAATGGTTTGTAACAGAGGTAACGGAATACTATGTCTTAGACTACATCTTTTCTGCGTAATAATTTGTATAAAAAAGTTACTTTTTGTTTTCGATTAAAAATACTTTACTGTATGACACATATGTGCGTGGAGAAGCTTTGTATGTTTGTGGGAAGTAAACCAATATTTTCATTTAAGCAGGACATCCATCTGCTTACGGAAAGTTTACAAAAAGCAACGGCAGTTATACTCCAAAATGGACAAAATAAAAAAAACAGGTTAAGGGTTAAAAACGCTGGTTGAAGAAAACATATTTTTTTTGTCGTTTACTTTCTTGTCAGAGTAAAGTAGGAAACAATGTACCTTCTTAAAAGGTTCTGATAAATGAATATTTTTGTTGAATACTAGCGTATAAATTATATTAGATATAATTTGAATAAATAGTGCAGCCTTTAGTACGAAACATTGTTGAATATCGAGACATATAGAATAACTAACGGATAAAATTAATGCAGTTATAATAGGGGAAGGAACGAGAATAATATTTAATGCACTCTGCGGACTATGTTTTCTAACATCAGATTTCCAACTTACATGCGATACAAAGAGTCGCTGTAATGCATAGATTTTGTTTCGTTATCTTACCTCGAACTGCGGCCAATTCATCGCCATATTCACACCGTGATTATTCGACCACCATTTCAGATCCTTTTCATGGTCTGCGTTGTTGATTGTGTGATAGAATTCTTCGTATATTTGTGGAAGTCTATAAATGAAAGATGTTTTTTTTTCGTAAATAAAACACGACAATTTCACGAAAATACTTAATGCCATACATTACAATTACAATAGAATAATTTAATCATTCGAGTATACCAAAAATCTCCGTCATTTTATCTTATGTTTTTGGTTTCCAAACAGACTGTCAAGGTAAAATATACTGTAATATTATTGTGTTGTCATAAATAACTTTTGTTATTCGGACGAACATTGACTGGGTAATAATAATTAGACTGCGGATATTTATGCAAATGTAGAATTTTATGGATAATTTCACGAAACTGGATGTAAAGAAAAATTCACTTACTCTGTTAAGTGTTCTAATCGGTACGAAATAAAACGAAGACTTAAATAAACTTTCTGAAACTTTTTACTATACCGAATTTCAAACGATCGGATATTTTATAAATGCATAAAATTTGCAATCCAATAATAATTTAATAACAATAATATGAACGAAATTATTGAAAGTGAGCAATTATAAAATGTTGAAGCATGGACCGCCTATAGTCAACCAGCCTCATTCTATGGTGGGATAAGCGGAGAAATTACAAGAAAGTTCATAAAGTGCAATTATAAAGCGGAAGAACAGTGTTATTGCCTCATAACCATTCAATTTAACCCTTTCGATACGGCCATATCTGTCGAAGAACATATCAAACGATACAGCTGTATACTTCCACAGAATACTTCCGTATGTTTAGATATTAACTTGTAAGTAATTTTGAAATAAAAAACCAACATTCAGTAGAAACTCAATTGTAATATAATTTAATATTAAATCTACTTCAATAGTCTAGTTATACAGGGTGTCATGTAACTGATGCTACAACTGGCCAGCGGGTGATTCTACGTGAAAAAATAAGTCGAAAATATAGAATAAACTTTTCTTATTCGAGACTTCGTTTCCGAAAAAATCGAGTTTGAAAATCTGTTGGTTACGCGTGCAACCGAATAGGGCTTGGGTAGCGCGTCTGTTCATTACATTCAGTTTCTACTTACTACCATGACTAGACTATACAACATAGACACGTTACAGATTAATTTTCAAAGTTGATTTTCTCGAGAACGAAGTCTCGAATGAAAAAATGTTATTCTGTATTTTCGATTTACTTTTTCACATAAAATCATTCCCTACCCGGTGGTACCATCAGTTATATGACACCCTGTATGTAAGGAGCAATTATACATATGTAGTTTGTGGCAAGTAACACAAGTCGAGGTGAGTGACGAGTCGAGGCGTGCGAAAATCTTTTCTCGCACAATCAGGTAATTATTGAGTAAAATATTGGTAACTTTTTAAGGGATGTTAGGCAACATTTTAACTTTATTTTTATAGATTAGTTATTATTTGAAATTTCAAAATGACGGTGTTATACTGTATTGTCTACCGTCATGTCGGACACAATCTTCTTAGCTCGCACCCAGCAGATCTCCGAAACAATTCAACCGATTAACTTGTCATTGCAAAACATTATTCCTTATAAAATTATCCACAATGTAGCGTGCGATTTTTGAATAATTTTAAAAAATAAGGAAACTGTAGCTTTATAAGGAAAAAAGTTTGTTCGGGGAAGAATGTGAACTTTGAAAATTTGTAAAAATTCAACAAATTAACCCTATAACGCCGAACACGACGTTTTCGGAACGTTAAATGAAATGGTTATAACGTATATGTATAATAAAGAAGGTAGAATGTTTATGGAGTTTACTATTTTTTTTATGCATCTTTTGTAGACCGGTTATCGGTTTTTAAGAAAGAACTTCTTAAAAAGAAACGGATTTTTAAAACAAAAAAGCAGGCGTTATAGGGTTGAGGAAGTATTCTAGTGTAATCGATTAAAAATCGACGTTTTTTGCAATTTCCTATAGTTTTGGGTTTTGAAAATATATTTGTAAAATATTACGGTCAAATTCATTCTCGAACTTATAAAAGAATAAAGGACGGCACCCATGCTGCATGACATACTTTAAACGATATTTTTCAAGACGGGCGCACATTTTGCTCAGAATCTACTGGATAGATCGACTTGGAATTTGGCATCCATGTATGTAGAGTACATTTCAAGTTATCCGCTCGACCTACAAAACTTTCTGATGTATTTAAAATTACTGTTTTTCCGGGGCATGAGAAATAAAAGTGTTTCGGTAAAAATCAGACATTCTCTTTTAAAGCCCTGTCATTTTGTCGATTTTGGATATGGATAATAAAACGGAATTTTGTTTGTTTCTTTCAGACAACTAGAATGGACGCAATCAATGCGCCTGATTGGACAGCTATTTTTAAAGATTTATGTTATTACTCTCAACATACATGTACATATAAAGATACATGCAAAACCTTAGCTTACTAGGTTTGATAATTGTTCTTTAATTTAATTCTCAACAATCATGTATCGAAAACGGGCATCTACGCTAAAATATCGCCTTAAAATATCGAAAAAATCGTACGCTACATTATAGATAATTTTATAAGGAATAATTTCTCCAAATTTGAAATTAATTGGATGAATAGTTTCAAAGATTTGCCGGGTGCCAGTTGACAAAGTTCTGCCAGACACGACGGTAGACAATGTTATATAATTCTGCCATTGTATAATCATAAATAATAACTAACGTATGAAAATAAAGTTACAACGTTGCCCAACATCCTTAAAATATCCTAACATTTGATTCAATAATTACCTGAGAATTTAATTTAGCAGCTTTGCCGCGGAGTGCAAAACAAATGGAGAAAATTCCACGTCACCCACGCAATGTGGTGACTTACTTTAGAAGCAAGAAAACAAGTGAGTCACTATGGTGGCTCTTCGTCCCGAAAAATGACTTTGCGGGAAGCCATTATAGTGGCTAGTAGCTGCAGGGTTAAGTGAGTTGTCAAAGTTTGTCGTCGAAAACAAGTTTGTGAAGCACTTCAATAGATTAATGTTAATTGTAAACTCATTTGGATTGATGCAAATTAAAAGAAAGAAAGGAGAAAGTGATTTACGAGCGAGCGTAAAAAATTAGAAGGAAAATGTATAATTACATTGGATCCTGAGATATATTTAGGCACTTGTGAATGCCAAATAGAACCTCCTTGAAGAACTGAAGCCGCTGCGCCTCCATTTCTTGACACTTCTCGAACACCTGAGTCATGTCCTCCATGTATTTTGGGTTGTATTGGTTAATTTCTTGCAGGGTAGCCTCGTATTTCTCCTTGGCCTTCTGCACTTCTTCCTTCGTTTTTTGCACTCTGTCCTGCATTTTCTTCACCTGTCGATTACATAAGAGTGGTAATCGATCAATATGATGAATTGTAGACGCAGGTGTGAACGACATTGAAGGTAAAGATCTTGGTATAGGTTCACCGAACGATCTTGAGGTTTGTAGGAGGAAGTAAGAGGAATTTGTGGAAAACGAAGACGTTCGTAGGTCTTCAATTGTCAAGAAACTAATTTATAGGGTGTCTATAAAGTCTCTATCTATTTTTATGGAATAAGCGTTAGTGTTATCCTCAAAAGAATTTTATTAATTCATTCAGTTCTGCTATTCCGACTAAATGTATTTTGCTTTTATGGGGTACTCCCAACAATATGGAGTCAAACTTTACGAGTATATCCTATTCATCGCAGCGATAAAAAGAATCGTTATTTAAGCACAGAACCTCAAATGCATTCTTTCCAAGATACATTAATCTAAAGTTATACGGTTGTGGATATCTTGAGCAATTCGTTTATTGACGGCCAATTAAAAGTTCAGAAGAGAAGATGTATTGTAAAAGCTTGTCAACCATTCGCTAGAACGAAGAGATTTCGTGTAGTAATCCATCAAGCGATGCATTCTTGCTCTAGTTCTTAATTGTTCTATCTCCACTAGTTTCTAAACTGAGGAAACTGAGTTTAAAGTTTACGAAGTTTAATATTATGAAAACAGGAAAGTAGTGAAATAATCAAACACATTATATAGTATCATTGTACGGAACATCTATTTATTACAATATTTAACCAAATTTTATCTTATTATCAACATAAATTTTTAATTGTTGTTAGTATTTGGAGATACAACCATTAAGAAAAGGAAACGTTCAAAGTTTCGCAGTTAGGACTTAAAAGAATATTTGTTGTTTTGTGGTTGAATTGTCATTATATTACGATGTATTCTTGTGGACAAATGAACGCACATAGATTGATTAACTAAATCTTTTTGAAAAATAGATTTAGAACAGTTAAGAACTCGGGTGACGATATGTTATGTAAGATAGATATTAATGTCGTAGACGTGTCGCAGAACGCTGCAACATTGCGAACTAGCCACTGCCTTCTTGGAGTCCTTTCTTTCCTTAAAAACACTACACAGTAGAATAGTATGCGCGACAGAGCAGCTTCACTCCATTTTCTGCTTGAACATGCATCCTAGAGACCTCAAGCTGGCTCGGTAGAACTATACAAACCAACATTGGCAGGCTCATCGACAGTAGACAGAAATTACATGTTCTAAATTCTTTATACTGAAATCGACAAAGATTGCAAATCCACTGGACAAAGTATCCATGCGTTGAAACGTGTTCCGAATACTGTTCGACTCGCGATGACTTACATCACGACGAGGTGATGGAAATCTCAATTCTTTACCTTCAGCTTATCTAGCCCACAAGTGTGGCGGCAAAGAATATTTTTCAAAAAGTAAGCGTAATTTTCAGGATGAGTAACGCAACTGTGTTTCTTGAGAAATGCACGAAAAATGTAGTGAAAGTTGAAGTCTGAATGAGACAGAATTGTCTCTTTGGTTAAACGTTAATGGTTAAACTTTTTCTTCTAACAGCCGAGATATGAGGAAACGCGTAACTGCTTTTCGTTTTTTACTCGAAATATTATGGACTCCTGGGCATTTTACATATAAAAATATCACAGTGTCCGAAAAATGAATTGTTTAAAAAATATTTACAACTTCCTGATCATTTGGATAAAATGCATCCTTTGAACAAGCTTCGTTGTTTTTCGTTTGAAACACTTGGTAAAGTATTGATTTTTTTATTACTTTAACCTTGAACAATTTAAATTCTGTTATTTCTTGTTCCTTTTGTTTAATTTGTGTCAAGTATTTAATCTTTCTGTCAGTTTTTTAATGTACTTTGCACAAATGTTTTCCTCTTTGTTATTTTGATACGAATGAACTTCTGGTTCTCCATAGACTCCATGACTAGAGTGAGTGTAAAACATTTTGATACCTTGTTTATGCAAGTTCAATATAAGTTTTCTTTCTTTTGGTGTACTCGTGAAAATTGCAAATTTTTTGCAACTTTGGAGCTGTGTTATGCTTTTAGAGTAATAGTTATTCAGTTTATTTTTCTACGAATTAATTCTCTGGACTGTTCCGAACAAAATGATATAAATTGTTATTATATTATAGACGTTTAAATATGTTTAAATAATGTTCAAAGTGAAAAGGACACCGCAAACGCACCAATATTTGTTGATTTTCGTCAATTTATTTCAAAAATTAAGGTTCCAAGGAAAAATCTAGCTATAGCACGCAATAAAGCAGACATTTCTGCTGAGGGAAGTAGCAAGGAAAGTTACAAAATCTGTTTTGTTTTGAACAGAGAAGCGAAATAGTTCAGCAAAACACGCAGCGGCGGCAGTGGTACTCAATGACGGTGGTCGTCGTACTTGCCACTCGGCGTAACGGAAGCGCTAAACGCTCGCTATAATAACTTCTGTTCAGGTGTCAGATAGAGGTAAAGCACATTTTTATTAGTTCTATGTTCCCTTTTTTATTAATTTTGTTCTGCTTTTGTGTATAGGCAAAGAAGACATTCTAAATAAAGATCTATACAAAAAACAAGTGGTATAAATAATTCTTTCAGTAGTTATAAATGTTTGTATACGGCAACACATACTGTACCAATACTTATGTCCACCATGTAGGAAAAATGAATAAAACTAGATGGTTTTGTTGAAAGAATGCAGTTTCAATGCACTGTTGCATTTACAAAAACAAAGTACATCTATATACAAACAGGTGGTTATTCATTATTCAATATTTTTTTTATCATTTTGGTTTTATCTTCAATGACAGGATCTCTTATCTGTCACAATTGCATGATTCACCCTGTATACTAATTAAGCGATAGGAAGTCAATCTACTCATGCAACGTAGCAATTATAAGTTATTAAACTCATTCTTTACTGATAAAATATATAGAATTTGGAGTTATGTGTACGTGTTTGAATAATTGTATATAAACGGCTCAAAATCATGTTAATTATTCACGATAACAGAAATCAAAAGAATCCATATTATGTACTTTTCAATCAATCCGTTTTCGAAATATTCTTTAGTGTTTATTCTTTAGTGTACTTTTAACCTACTTTGCGTAGGTACAGACTGTTTTCAGAAACTGAAATCACAAATATTTGGAACTAAATTGCGAATCAGTGAAGCGGACAACCGTTTTAAAGACTAATAATATTTATATAATTCTTATTATAAACAAGTATCTCTACATAGAAATGAAAAGAAGATAAATTAAGGAATTCGTGAATAATTGTTGTTTTTTTTTTTTAAGTAATTTATTTTTAATCTGTTTTCGTGTAGATGTATTCTTTCGAAATATTGAAGTTCATTTGTAAATTATTATGTACCTCAAAACTCGACGATATAATCTTTGTTTCGTATGAAACTGCAGAGAACGCGGTCGGAGGAAACACAAGTTTTACTAATTAACATTTCATTTCCATCCTAACAACGCTATTACTAAGCCGGTTTTAAAAAGCCACGGCATCATTACTTTGCATGTTATCTTGTCTCATGTACTAATTATAAGTCGTTGCACGTGAAATGTCGTTTACAATGTCGCTTCAAGGCCGTATAGGTTTCCCTTAATGCATTGCACCCATGTATTATTACAGTTACATTATACAGAGAGTGTTTCAGGTCGAGTAGTACAACCGAGTAGAATTTATTCTGTAAGCAAAAATAAATCGGAAAAAAAATGAATAAATTCTTTTCGTTTGAGGTTTCGTTTTCAATATAATCGAATTTGAAATCTGCGGGGTACGCGTGCAACTGAACAGGACTTGGCTGGTATGTCTGTTCATTGCATTCCATTTCTACTTACTGTCATGCGAATACACATGATAAAATTACTTGAAAATAAAGAATTAAACTGATTATCTAACTAATAAATGTATTCTCAAATATTTTATTATTTTTTAATTATGTAACATATCTAACTATAATGTTTCTTCTTTGAAGATTTCTTTCTGAATGCCACTTTTGTTTTTTTTTCCTTCTCCGATCTTTGTACACCATGTAGAGTATTGTAGAGTCTACTCTACATTGTAGATTGTACTTGGTCAAACAAGTGCTCCTTATTATGATCATGACAAAATTCATATGTGACCTTTGCCTTGAAGTAGCCAACGTTAACAGACGCGTTTCAGATTAATTTTCAAATTGATTTTGTGGAAAACAAAACTTCCAACGGAAAAAATTGATTCTGTTTTTTTTTCAATGTATTTTTTCTTATAGAATTACTTCCCGTCCGGTTGTACTTCCCGACCGAAAATGTACAAAAGAATCGTAATAAAATCTGTGTGCTTCTTTCCACTTTTCTCAATGCCGACCAGCCAGTTATTTCTTAAAAAAGAAAAGTCTAAAATTTTAATTCCTTAATCTCTAATATTTTTAGAACGATGAACAAAATGATTAAGAAACAAACATAAGTTAAAAATAAAAAGTGAATAACTTTAAACTGAAATTCCAACTTTCAAAATGTTGTTCATCTATATGTATATGTTTCTGCAATATCTTTGGTTTTTGTTGATTTTAAATATATTTTTTGAGAAGAAATATATCCGAGAGCATTCCCTCCAGTTTATTGTGTAACGTTATTAACGATAATACAGTCAGTTTTTATGAAGTCTGACCCACGCATGGATTTTCATTTTGACTAACAATTAGTAAGCGGTGTAACTAGCGGATTGAAAATGATTAATTTATAAAGCATCTAGTTTACAGATAACAATGGCTTAAAGCGTTCAAATTTTTCAAATTGTTTTCTACACGCAGGTAACGAGCAATCATCGAGTATTTATACATGATTTTAAAACTAACAATCATATACTTTTTATTGGCTCAATAATATTGTGTCATTGAATGTGTGAATTCTAAACAAATATTCTGACTGATAATGCAAATGCACATGTTATCATTGGAGAGAAAGTTGCTCAGTAAATTAGTTTCTATAACAATTCGTTTTCTTTCACTTTAAGAAAATCGTATCGAGATTCTTTGTAACGAATGAATACGTATTAGTATAAATGTAATTTAAATTTTTAAAAACAACGAATTTTTTAAAATCTTTATTCTATAAACTCGATTAATGGACAAACGTTTCCTAAAAATATAATATACATGGTGAGTCATTTAAATCGATACCCCGAATATTTTCGAAACCGTTGATGACACCAAAAAATGTTTCAGATAAAAATTGAATGGTTTCGAAGGGAAAATAATTTAATGCTAGTAATTTCTTTGTGGGTGGACGCGTGGATGATATATGAAAACTAAATTTGTTTTTTTTTTTTTGTAAATTTAATCATATATTTTTTAATGCATCAAAATGCACTTCGGCATTCCCTATAAAAAGGTATGACGTCACTTATGTTGAAAAATCATTAGATTACTCAATTTCGGTATAGCTAGTACGTATAACATCCATGAATGCAGGCTGAAAGTGGAACTGTTGAATACCAGCTTTAAGAAGGTTGATCTGCGGCGTGCTCACGATGAGCTCGCAATTTGCTACTACTCGTTGATAAATTAATGTCGTAGAATTCGTTGGAAATATTATGTGAATTGTATAAGTTAACATTACTTTGTAACATACTTGAACTTTACAATAAACGTAATGAAATGTGATGTACTATATGCGTATGTAGTTACTAGTTGCGACTACTATGCTGAATGTGTTCTTGTTGATGAACGAATGTGTTCTGTCTGGTGGTTGTATCCGTAGACGCTTGTTACTACGGATAGGCTTGTGATTGGTGGAAAATGTAGGATTTTGGTTGGTGTATGTTATCGAAGGAGTAATAGTACAAGGTGAAGAAGTTGGGGTTTAACGTATGTATTCTTTTTTGGGATTCCTGAAAGTCAGCGCCGAAATACAATAATGCATGGTTGTTAGCATAGTGAATGTTGTGCACGTGATAAGCAGCTGTCCAGGAATCCCTGTTTATAACGCCTTCTTGACCGTATTGGCGGTCGAAGACGCGACATTGCCTACTTGCATTAGGTCGCAACAAATGTAAACGTTGTATTACTACATAATAATACGACTTTGCAATACTGAAATTAAAATATTTCCTAAACTAATGGTTTTTTGGCATAAATAGCTTAATACTTTTTTATAGGGAATGACAAGTTGCATCGATTAATGCATTAAGAAACATGATTTCATTAAAAAAAGCAACCTTGACCTTCATATGTCCGCTACCCATCTATCTACAAAAAAACTACTCACACAAGATTATTCCCCCCTCGATATCATTCAACTTTTATCCGAAACATTTTTTAGTATCATCAATGGTTTCGAAGATATTCACGGAGATCGATTTACATGAATCATCCTGTATTTATTTAACAAATCGGCTATAGTTCCTTTAAGTAACAGTAATGTAAAATACAATAAAATTTTGGATAATTACCGTATAATCATGTGATGTACTGCATTACTATCTTGTATCATACTATGAACGTACAATATTGTTCTCTTCCCGAAACATTGTTTCATTTTTCACGAAACGAATGTTTTATAAAAATAACTGTGTATGCATTATAAACATATGTTAAAGCTCGATGCTTGCACGATTTCTTATTAAATGCAGATCTAAATACTAGACATTGACTTTGCTTACCAACAGAGCTTTCTGTAACGAGAAGTAAAAAGAAACGGTTAATTAACAAACATGCCGCATGCAATATCGTTATACATACAAACTGAACGTCTCCTATTTTAGAATTCCTAAAGGACTTTCGTATTCTGAGGCCCCATGCACCACATCCACACACAGTCATCTAAAAACGTCGGTATAGCCATTTTTCAGATGATCGCCCCTACTTCGGCGATTATTCGTTTTTCGAACGAGTGAGATACATGCAACGATACTTCGTTTGCAACGCTATTCTAATGGCGTTGTGATAAGAATTTTCACATAATTCTTTTTCTTTCAGCGAAGGAATTGTATATGAAAGTGCAGCGATAAATTTGTGCGGTGACTAAATTTAAAGCATGTCCACATACGTTGAATGGACACAATTTTTATTTAACCGATTGGTAGCTTTCGTGCCATATAAAAAATTAATAAAATCCTTCAATTTCGTACGAATTTCACAACTTAATTAAGACGAAAACAATTGATAGTATGAAGTTTGTAATTTGTAAAAATGCTTGAAGTCGTGCAGGAGTTCAATGCGCGCCATCGACACAGAGGGGCACATGAATTGCAGCCCTCGATACCCGAAATCAAGCGATCAATGTTTTCCATAGATTAAGAAGAATGAAAAAAGAGGTTGTTGTTCTTCCGTCGTCGTTACATTCGGTAGAAGTTTCCAAATGAGAATTCACGTAAGATCACAGAAAATTTGTTCGTACTTAGTGAATAGTATACAAGTTACCAAACGGGTTTAATGGGAAAAAAATCTAACAGTATTTGATGAACATTCAAGCAAAGAGATTAAAATTGATCCTCGATCGATAATCGAAGCATGCAGAAATAAATATTTATTTGGACATTCTGGAAGATCTAGCAGCACTTCGTGAGACCAGAAACTATAAAGATATGGATCGATAAATATCGAGGGGCACAAGACAACACCGCATGCAGATATTCGGTAAGATTACACGAGATTTGTTAACATACGTTTTCAGAGCCTCGGGCCATCTGTAAATAATACTTGCTAAAGAACAAATGTATCTATTCGTACATCGAGCCGCGAATGCATGATTCGAGATGCACACTAACTTATGCACACACGTGTGGCACAATATTTCGTTATACATATACATATGTGTGCATGTGTGTGTGTGTGTTTGTCATCGAGGATAATCTTGCTTCGAAAAGGATCCCCTTATGAAATAAATGTACTTATGTGCGATGATAGTAACAATGAAATAATAGCATTGTTAATTTTCTTTTATTTCGGAGCGACTGCTGTTGAGAAAAAATCTATAGGATAATTTATTAAATGAGAATGGTTGACGTTGGACGGTAGGACTCATAGTCTTCGTGTATACATATTTTTTTCTATTGAAATATTGGTGAAATTACGAAAGATACATGTCTTTAATATACGATTTTAGGTCTGTTAAATTTATTGTATGGGTCATTCCACGCCAAGCGGCTCACTTTTGTACGCAATGTTTGGGGTTTTTCTCAAATTGAAATACTCACTTTAGTTTAGATTTAGTTTGTTGTCAATGCATGCATATAGACTACGTTTGCACCAAAATGTTATCAAAGCATGTAAACCAGAATAATCATGATTTTTATCAACTATCTTCACTTAAATTGCATTTTTCCTATTTCTGAAGGGATAGATAAATTCAGCGGTCAGATTTGAATTCAGCGTGTCGATGTCTACAGGAAATGATGTATAACAAGTCAAGCACAAAATTCAACCACACATTCTACCGGAAAAACCGTAATTTTCTTGAAAAATGTCAAGAGTGATACAGATTTCCAAGGTTAAAACTTATTTGTGATACTTCATCTACCTTATTTCCTGATTCTACAACATCTTAGCTTTAACTTCGAACAAGATTCATCTCTCTGTTTTGCTTCTACCAAAGGTTCTACGATTTTGACACAAGAAACAGCAGTTTGTTCCACTACGCCCGTGGAGCGGTTACCTGAATCGCCGGGCGCCGCGACTTTTGTTGGCCTGTTGGGACTACAATTTTGGAGTGCCCGCGAATTAAAAAACTAGATTTTAAACAGAAAAGATCACAGAATACGGGCACATTTTTCTCAATCTTCTGAATATGTTACCTAGGGATCAAATTTTCAAAACAAGAATATTTTTAATAATTAGGCATTGCAAAAATAACTTTACACACAAACAAAAAATTTAGTTATAAAGAACGATCTTTTACGATCACAATGAAAACAGAATCAAATTCATATCTCTAGTAGTTACGAAGATAAAAATTCTTTTGTGATTACAGTTCTCGTAACAATCGGTCAAAATTATCAACTTTGAGGGTCTGTATATTTTAAACAATTTCGAAACCAGCGAAATGATGACTTCACTCCTCCCTATTTTCACATGAAGTATAACATATATCATTTTGAGCAAAATCGCAAACTTTGTGTAGAAAACTGATCCGCCTGGCGTGGAACGACCTGTATATACATATGTACAAATTTTTCTGGTATTGATACTTCACCTATGCCCATGGGCGTAGCAGGGTTGTTAGTCACGTGGGGCGGGGGGGGGGGGCAACGTATTAACACATCGACTGTAACAGTGAAAAAGGCTGTACGTAGCCAGAAACGCTTTATTTTGTTTTCAAAGTCATAAATCGTTGAAAATGTATGTGTTTTGTTAATAGAGGCTGTTGGTCGTGTTTCAAATTATAATGCTATATTAAATATTACGCAAAAATTTTGTAACTCTTGGAAGGGTGGGGGGAGGGGGCAAAATCCAATTTTTTTCTCGTAGGGTGGGGCAAAAGTCACTTTTTCCGTCCGGGGGGGGGGGCAAATGCCCCCCCTGGCTATGGCCATGACTATGGCCACAGATCATGAAACATCTCGTATGTTTGGTGTTCTTTAATAGTACATTCACGGAGTACAGAAAAAAAGGGTTACAGCCGAATCTGTTTACACTCATTAACCAACAAAAATTTAAAATTGATTCGTCCGCGCGAAACAATTTTTTCCTTTACAAAAGAAGATTTTGCATAAATAAACTATTCATTATTGAACACATGAAATTATTGTATAGCTACGCTTATTTTAAACGTGATGTACAGGGTGTGCCGCACAATTGGACCAAGCTATGTATCTATCTTTATAAATTAAAACGGTTTTCTTTGATGCATCACACGATGCATGTGTCTGTTTTGAAGGTGGAGGCATTTCAGAGATTACAAGGTCACCTGTATTTCCTTTAAATGAAACTATAAATTTATACATACAATGCATGGATGTCTTTTATTCCCTACAAAAAAGTATTAGGGTACTTATGTACGTCGAAGAGCGACTAATTTAAAAGATAATTGTAATTTCACAACGTTCTATTTGGACCCACGTTTCAAAGTTTCCTTTGTATGTCTACTCGTGTTTACCAACAACTTCAAAAATGCTTGACTAAATGACATGATTTCGTATTGCTAACCGAACGAATAAGTGTACTGATTACAAAACGTCAAAACCTTAAGGATACAGAAACGTGACTGATTATCTGTACCAGGCATAGGCAACGTTCCGTGGCTCTGGAGCGAAAATATTATTCTCTCTTCGAGTCAAGGGCCAAATTAAATAGATTTTGAATGATAGTAATTAGTACCTAGCGAGTCGGATTAAAAGAAATCGCGGGCCGGGGGTTACCCATATGTGATTCAAACTAATCACTTTTCAACAGATATACCTTAATATTTTTTTCATGGAGAATAAAAAAGCATAGATATTACTTAATGTGCATACAAATATACAGTTCTGCTTGACAAAAACAGAGGTGACCTTGAAAAACTCTGAAACGCTCCACTTTCGAAACAGACACACGCATCATGCGATGCATTACACGAAACCATTTAAACTTCCCTATGGAAATTTCCTTCTACCTCTTACCGTTTTAAAGATACAGCTTGGCCCAGTTGCGCAGGACACCCTGTATATCGATTACGCAGAAATCCTTTTCGAAGCGAGCCCGATGACAACTGTGATTCAGATACGCGACATAACAATTGCGCTAATCGTCGACAACATATGAGCGAAGAATGGTGTAACTTTTTATTACTATGATCAGCTCACTGACGGGGGATAATTGTTGTTTTACCTGGTCTGGCGAAAGCGAACTGTCCGCGGAGGCGTTCCTCTCCATATTCGCGGCGGTTCGTTCGGTTTTGCAGCTGTTGTGGTATTCTGACTTCGCTTTTTCAACCTTCTGTAAAAGCTTCACCCACGGTTTCTGCGCCTTTTTGAACGCGTCTTCCATCTCTTTCCGCTCCTTCAGGGTCATCATCGACTGAAATGGAACCACATTTCGTTGTAAGGTTAGCAATCTATTGGGTCGTTGCGTATGAAACATGTTGGTTTTCTTTTAGCGACACTTCATATTTTATTTTACTTTAACGAATTTTATTACTTAACCTTTGACGTCACGTGCCTTAGAATCATTCTTTGTTAGGCCACGTGGGGTTTGTCAGACCCTATATAAACGTCTATCATCTATATTATTATTATTTTTTATTGTAACTTATACTTTATTGTATATTACTTTTATTCTTAAATTCTGAGAAGACAACAGAACATGAAAGAGTACTTTCTAATTAACAAGAATTAGAATCATCTCAATTTTTATAATTTAATAACATAAACTCAGCTATACGGAAGCACAAAATTTGCACGATTGAATTAACAACGGTATGAACGTTTAAAGGTGGTTGGGGTTTATTAAACCTCACGTACCCAGTCAAAGATTAAAGCCAGAATTATTTACGTTCCATAATGAAATAAACGCAACGTTCATACAATAAGTATTCAAGGGGGTATTGAAAGTTCCAAGTTGATTTGAGTAAAATTCACGGATTTTTAGACCAACGTATAAAAAACTCCGTGACGCTGGCAGTGTGGCATTTGACGTCGAGTTATGCAGTAGAACGTTTGTGTTTCTGTAGAGTTTCGTTTTATCAGTAATTATGACTGATAAAAAGGGTTCAAGAGAATTAAGTAACACTAAAAAGTTTCCAAAATCGATGCAAGGAAAAATGTTTTTAATACGAAGATGGCGGAGTAAAATGAAAGCAGTTTTAAAGCATTTGCGAAACTATAACCCGTTTTTTTCAAAACAACATTTTCATGAGCTCATCTCAAAAACTACTGCACCAATCTTTCTGAAGTTTTGTGGGCTTGTTTTTAATATCAAAATTTAGTGTTGATAGAAGGATTTTTTTCAAAGGATGCTAAGAATAATCTCACAATCATACAGTTAGTACATACATCGGGCATGCGATGCGTGTGTGGGTATAAGGTTGCTGTCATTTGTTTTATGGTTGTGTGTATGTGTAAATTGTGAGAATGCCAATTTTTTTGGTTGTACAAAATGTTATTCAATTTTTAATTTTTTAATTTGTTCTGTAGTTGTATATTTTAATCAGTTTCGACTGTATTAATTCTTTACTGTCGGGGACCATATTTGGGGCGTGTAGTCCGAGGTGAAATCTACGAGGCTTCTGTGCTTTTACGTTGTTTATACGTAAATGTACAAGATTCTTGACAATTCTTTTTCCTGTTTTATTTAAGGTATACGTTTTCTTAATAAATCTCACAAAGTAGAAAGATGCGATGTATTAAGAAACTAATCAAGTTTGTAACCTTACTACCAATGGAAACATATGTCGATGAATACGTAGTTCTATGTTCATTATAAAAAGTGTATAACAAAGCATAAAATACGTAATTCTATCTTCACTATAAAAAAGTTCATAACAAAGCATGGAATATGGAGTTCTAAGTTCGTTTTAAAAAGTATATAACAAAGCATGGATAACAAAATATAGTACTATATGGTGGATATTATAACATGCAATACAGAAAGACTGACCAATAATTTAATCATGAATAATGGCAATTGACTAAATTATGTCCATATTAGGTATTTTAAGACGGGTAGTACAATTACGCAGGTGAGATTCTATAAGATAAAATAAGTAAAAAAAAAAAGAATAAAATTATTTCAGTGTTGCTTCGTTTTCGAGATAATCAAACTTGACAACTTTTTGGATACACGAGCAGCAGAATAGAACTTGGCTAACGCGTCTGTTCATTGCAGGTCGTTTCTACTTATTTGCAGCACGAATACACGCGCTTTAGAGAAATGTTCAAACCCAATTGTCTCGAAAACAAAACCTCGAACGAAAAACTTTATTCTTTATTTTTTCGGTTTATTTTTTCTTGTAGAATCACCTCCTGCCCGGTTGTACCACCCGACTTGAGACACCCTGCATTGAGTCCATAATACGTATAAGAGTTCACGCTGCGTGAGTGCAATCTACAGATGCTTTTCTTGCATACTGTAAACAAATTGACACTTATTCGTAGTATGTGTTCAAAACTTCTTCATTTGTATCAGAAGAATGTTCTTACACTAATGCAAAAATCACTTCATTCACGTCATTCTCGCTAATATTTTGTATACAAGTCTTTTCCCATTCCGTCATGTTACTGTTACTACATTTTCATTGATTTTTCATATTTTGTTAGATATTTTATCGGCCGCAGCAAAATCGACGAGAAACGTCTCCTCGGTGGGACAGTACACAGAAGCCACTTACCTATTAGTAGACTGCGGAAGTTTATGCAAATTGAAAATTTTAGACAGTAATATATAAAAACAATTATTGAACAGAAATTTATTTCCTGTCCCAGAGGCTTCAGAATATTCATAAGAGTACACAAATAGCTTTAAACTATATTGAAATGTTTATTTTACTATACTTTGCAAATTAAGAGACGCAGAAAAATACATAAACATCCGCAGTCTACTTGTTAGTTTTCATTGTGTAAGATAGACATGCTATGCAAGCCACACTGCATGGGAGAGTTGTATATCGTAGTTCTGTTAAAAGGTAAAGAAGAATAAGAATATTTATTAGTTACATAAAGAAAAGAGGAGAATAAGAAAAACAGAATCAACGGAGTCTGTGAGAGTTCTACCTCGGCACTAGAAGGTTAAGTGTTTCTGTTTTAAAGCGTATGGGTTTGATCGTTGCTCGCCTGACCGTGTGTGTTAGGCAAAGTCTGCTTAGCCCGTGATACTGGTTACTCTGTGATACTTTTCTCTTCGTCTCTACCACTAAGACCCAATTTAGTTCAAAGAAAACTAACAAACAGTGGGAATGTGCTAATTTGTGGTACGGTAAAAAAAATCAGTCAGTTGAAGTTAGTGTGATGAAGTGGGAGAAAGTTTTTGTTTCAGTAGAACATTATTGGTGTAAGTTTTCGTGCTAATCGTGAATGATTGTTTCCTTGTATATTATACGTGCTTTGAAAGATACATAAATAGAACATCCAAAATGTAGATAAGTAATAATGATATAACATTTTAATAAAACTTAATCATAACCCTCAGACATCGCCTCAGTGCGAATCGGGATTTTGAATTTTTGAAGATTTAATAAATTGTAGAAAGTAAAAGCAAATTGAACTTGTAACATATTTTTTAGGGTAATATTTCCTCAGAGATATAAGTGTTTAACTATGACAATTTCAAATCGTTATGCTAGATAGATAGAATGTTACAGACGAAATAATGTTTTGCTGGTGCAAAATGGTACTAGTGTAGTGTCTGAGGGTTAAAATTATCATATAGAAAAACTTCGATGCTATTTTCGCTTATAAAAAGTAACTGAATTCTTACTTTTTTTGTGCCTGATTCTGCGTTTCTTAAAGCACTGTTTGAGAAAAACCGAAGATACATACCAGAAACAATGTTTCCTTATGTCTCAAACACTTGACTATCATGAAATTGGTGGAACAATTGACTATCGACAAAACGATTTCTTATTTTTAGACTTTAAACAATAACACGTTTTCAGTGTGTAGTCACCAGGGCAGTCTTTAGTGTATAATACAAGTACTGTATATAATAAGTTAAAATAATAATATAAACATAACATAGAATAATACTTTAATAATAATATAAACAATAATAAATAAGTAATTGGTGAACATGCCTAACAAGAACTACCACGGAATAACAGAAGATATCACCGAGTAATCGGAGTGTTAAAAGTCGTGTAAAAATTCAATTCTGTATTTTTTCTTTAATTAAATATACTTACTAAACTTCTGTTAACCTATTACTTATTTGTATGATATCAAATTGTATTATCCCATCCCCTTGACTTTTCTTCAAGATATGCAAATATCAACGGTTAACAGAAAAATTCTGAAAGGATCCACGGGCTTACCAGAGTTTATCCTATTTCTGATATCGCAACAAAGAACACATATGATATTTTTGATATTGTATTTGGCAAACATAGTGGGATTACTCACTGATACATGTAATACGAAAGCTAAAGAAAATATTTCAGGTGGTATTAGGTAACGGAGCCAGGATAAAAAAAAAATAAAATCGAAAATGGTATTACGTACCTTGTGATAAGTGTCCTTCTGCCACGTCTTCACTTGCTGTATGATGTCGTTGCAGAGATTCTCTTTGACCCTGAGATGAAGATCGCATAACCTGTCCGATTCAACGAGAACGCCTTTCCACGCCGCCTCTGTGGTTCCGTATTCGGGGCCTTTCTCGATCTTGTCGTTCCAATTCTTCGACCAATTTTTCAACGCTTTCGCGTAACTCTTCTCGATCTCCGCCCTCTCTTGAACCAGAGCTATTAAACTGTCGCAGAGCTTTTGGCCGTCCTCGATCCTTTTGGTCGTTCGTTTGTAGTTACCCGGCTCCCAGAAGGAGTCCGAGGTTGCTATCAGCATGTTATCGTCGCTGTGATGTGACATCCTAGCCTAAGTCGAGAAATTCCTTTCACCTGCAAGCAGAATTATTCGGGTGTTATTCGACTGGTTATACGGTAGATAATCGATTTTTATTACTATTCTTTATAATTACAAACCGATTTCGTTATCAGTCGGTATCGATTTCGACTTTACTATCCAGAATACAGATCAAATGGCCAACGAGATTCGGATTGTAAAATATAATAAAAATGGCTAGTGCAGAGTATATTAAACAAGACAAAGAAATTGGTTCTATAAAATACGTTATAACAGGACAAATTAAACGGTCACTGTATTAAAATATTATATAAAATTCCACTATATGGAGTACATGTATGATACGAGGAGAATAAAATGGTCAATGAGCAATACATATAGTATGTATATGACGCAGAATGAAAAAATATGGTCAGTTTGCAGTACATTATAACCTTGATATGCTTAAAGCTCTATGTTTTAAAGTAAACTTTTTTTTTACGACATTATCCTTTACAATATTTCTATGAGAAATCATCTGAATTTTTAGTGTGCTTTTTAGTCATTTTCAAGTAATTTTTAGTAAGCCATAACACCTACATATTAGTCGATCGGGTAAATTGAAAAACAATACAATACAGGCACCTGTATTAGGTGTCCCTATAACACTACAGTGGGCATATTCGGGTTAAATAAAGTGAATAAAACTACAAATATGAAGTATAGTATTCAAAGTAATGAAAATGTTCATTATAGAATATATTATGGGGGATTAATTCAAATCAACACTGTGAAATATACGATGTAGAATAATTTATATAGTCACCGTCTAGTATACTATACAGACTGTTCTAAACAGAGTGGAGTATATTCGAAGAGACTGATCGAAATAGACATTAACAGAGTGCAAATATATGGTAGCTGTAAAGTGGTTAAACAAAAAATATTTTACGAAGTTTTTCTACTTCATTAAACTTAATTTTAAAGCGAATTCTTTAAATTTTAAATTATAATGCTAGGTTAAGAATAATGCAAGAAAAACGTGGTCGTTGAATATTTCCAAAAATACTGTCAATTATATTGTAAACGTTTGAATTATTTTACAGTCAAAGAAGAAATTATTTCATCGATTAAACGGCATTTTTAGTTAAAATTGAAATGAAACTTTTGTTAAATCTTAAATAAATTTCTCCATTCCGTTGCACTTTGCATAACTGAGAATACCATAAAGTGATTGTATGCAATGAATTTCTATGATTTTCATTTGTATAATACATATTGAATGATGCGTACACAAATTCGAAAGAAACAATAATTTTATAATCTCTTTCTAGTCTTCAGGAACAGTAATTATATTAGTCGTATTCGATAGTGCTCTTTATATTGACTCACTGCAAAAGTTTCAATGGGTTTTCCGTGAATGGTACGATCGTCATGGTTTTGTGGAAGCAATAAACAATTATGTTAATATACTGTGTCGATGTGAATGGAACACAGTGAATTGTTATTTAGAACTAAAAATCGGCGCGATCTAGTGTGTTTTATTGTTTAAAATCAAACTGAAGTAGGGCTCCTGAAAAGAAATTAAAAAGATCAACGGAACTTCGTTACAAACATCACAAAAAAGCATTTGTAATTTGTTCGATAAAGCTGTTATACCTATGTCAATCCCATTCAACGTGGTAACATGTGAAGTGATTAATATAATTTAATTCTATCAATTACCTGAATAATAATATTCCGAAAATTTGTTTATTAGAATAAACATTTCTATTGAAAATAAATGTTATCATGCATTTCTTGAAAATATTATTAAATTTATTATTAGTCCATTCTTTTAGACAAAACTTATAAAATCTTTCGTATTGACCCAATACATCCAATTTCGCTCTATTGTTACAAATCGATCGGTACTCACTGTCGATTCGCTAGAGCCCGTATGGGAATAGTCGCTTCTTTTGATTGCAAGGTGATAGTAAAATGAAAGTTAGATTACGTATACGACAAATGGCAACGGGTGTTTCGAAATTCTCTTTCGATCATTCACGACAGACGGCGCATCATTCGACACGAGTGTTTAATAACATTGCGAAATAGTTATTAAACCTCAAACAGCGAACAGCATGTCATTGCAGCTCGCCCATCAAACGCTGGGTCAAATACGATACAATTATAAAATCCTACCTTTGTACGTATTACGAAATCATATTTTTATATACATTAAATTTTCACATTGCCAGATATTTTAAATATTGTAAATAAACGATTCCTGTTTTGCTGTGCAATGTGTACGTAAAGCGTAGCAAGCAGTTATTAATACGATAATGTACGTAGTAACGGGCGAGAAATCGAAGACTTTGGTGTAAAATCATTTACTGATAAACGAAAAACTTTATCATTTGGTGCAACAAACATTTAAATTCTACTGATAGTATGGTTACTATAAAGAATAATGGAGACTTCGGTTCAAGGACCGGTCATCTCAAGAAAATACGTTTTTCGAGGAACTAAGAAAAACTTTCCGAAAAATTGGAAATTTACCATTTTTTTTGTTTCTTTGTAATATGTCATACTTACATACATTAATATATACAGTAGGAGACAAAAGTATTCGTACACCCTTTAAAACGGAACAACTTTTTTCAAACTAGTCCGCGTGGCTTGAGTTCTTTCGTGAAGTTAGGAACATTAGTTTACTAAATGATGTGTAAAAGAAATTTGAGAAAATTGCAATTGGTCGGAATCGCGAAGAAAATAGTAAAAGTCGCTTTTTACAACTTTTTAATCTGAGGCTTTAATGAAAATTTGATAAATACATATCGAAGATTTATATTAGTTATATACATACTGACACTTTCATTGAAATCGGTTGATACAGAAACGAGCGACAGACAAAAAGATGTATGAATTGTTAGATTTACTACAGTTGTAGGTCGAAAGTCGCGAAAAACTGTGATTTTCAACATTTTTAATCGTTTGTATCTCATAGCAACTATAACCGATTTTGATAAAATTTTTCATCATGTATGTAACTCGCATAAATCTTCGATATGTATTTATTAAATTTTCATTACAGTATCAAATAAAAAAGTTGTAAAAAGCAACCTTTACTATTTCTTCGGATCAATTGCAACTTTTTCAATGTTTGTTTACACGTCATTTAGTAAACTAATGTTCATAACTTCACAAAAGAATTCAAGTCACTCGGACTAAAGACGTTGTTCCGTTTTAAAGGGTGTTAAGAATACTTTTGTCCTCCACTGTATGTATAGACCTCTTGCTTTCATGATAATAATTAGGAGGAAACAGAGATGAGTAAATTAAACGCTTCGGACGTACTAAGTGCTTAAATAAATCTCGAATATTTGTACTACAAACTATTGTGTTTCTGTATAATAATTTATTGCTTGTTTATGATTAAAAATTTAAAAAAAAATCATTGACGTACGCCATCACTTGTTTAGGGCAAACATCAGTGATCTCCATGAGGCAATAAACGAGTCATTTTAAGGAAAGGTGAAAAACAAGATAAGGTGTACATTTTTAAGACTTATGGGTATAACAAACTATAAATAAACCCGAAAAAACGTTGAATTTCCAATTTTTATAATATTAATAATAAAATGAAGTGTTTTTAATCGATTAAACGTTGATATTCGAATTTTTATAATAAAACAATATATATTTCTGGTTGAATGAGTAGACGCATGGAAAACAATTACATATTTCATCTCATTAAGCGTTTAAAGAGCAGTACATATAACGATGTTAAGATGCTGACACCTTTTCACTACCTATGCACAATATTATTCGAATAAAATTGTACCCAACTCTGGTATGGGTCAATATTGATCCACTACAAGACTTCACGAGACCGCCGAGCCGATGGTATTCCGAGGATTAAATATATTTTTCTCTAAGATAATTTACATGTATCGGTAGTCTATAATAGAATCCACACTATTACTAATGAACAGCTTTAATGTATTTTTTTAACGAACATAGGATACCTCATATGATGCTTACCGGAAAATACATTTTGTTCATGGCCTATGGTCATGTTTCCATTTCGAACATATTCATAGATATTACTTTTGCACAGACCTCCGAAATAGTAAGTAAAGTATATTCAACCGGTTCACCATATTATGCAATCTGAACCCTCCTGAATTATGAATATACCATCGTTTGAATACTCTCGTGTATTCGCGAGGGAATCGTTGGAAAAAAGCCAAGGAAATCCGTGATTTCGCAGAATAATGTACAATTTAAACGTGAATTAAAGAGAAAGCATATTAATTCAACGAGGATAATATTGTTAAGAAGATTTAAGGGAAGGAAGTAATTTCGCGTTTACAAATCGCTGTACACATACTACGGTAAGGTATATTCAAGTGGCGTAATTAGAATTCATCGTATGCAGATTACTATGGTGGAGGGCAATCGTACGGTGCATCATTATACAGGGTGGGCAACGACGGATAATATAACCGGACACGAGATTATGCGAAAATAAGTCGAAAATGTAGAATAGAACTTTTTCGTATGATGCTTCATTTTCGAGACAATCGAATTTGAAGACATCTATGTATGCACATACAGCATACAGAACCGATGAAAAGTATCCGAACGCCTGGATTGACTCAGGAAAACACAAAGAACTTTCAATTCATTACGCTGTCGATCGTTACTTTCTTTTTCATGATATTCCAAACACTGTTCTTCAATATCTTTAGTTTATTTGCAATATCACCGATCGAATAGCCTTCACCACGACTAATACACACATACTGTAGTACGTTTTTCAATTGAAATCTCTGCAACTTTCAGCATTTTCAGCACGTTACAGCGAATGTTGCTTCGTCAAGGGAGGAACAAGAAATGATTAAGAAAAAGGTAAATTTCATATTTATAAGACTCATGGTAGGGACAATAAAACAAAAAAAACATTTCTCTAGTACATTATAGATAACGAGTACGAAATTAGCGGAAAAACCCAAACTGTTCATAGTAGTCACAAATCACAAAGCGATCTATTAGTGGCATATTAACTTTC